GTTCGAGAGTGGTGCTGTTGGTGCCGGGAGCGTCGCCGAGTCCAGGAGTTGGTGCAAAGCACGAGGGGGAGAATGTCGGCGACGGAAAACCTATCTTCGAGTAACGTGTGTATTAATATAGGGACAATGTCGTTTTAGCGTATTGTGAATAATTGTTGTAAATATGAAATCTCATTCTTATTAGATTTATTATGTTAAAATAAGTTCTAATTAGTGTAATAAGGTTAGTTTAGAGTATTTTTTGCTTATTTGAATCATATAAGACTATTTAACATTAATTTGAAAGGAATAGGTACGTAAGTAAAATGTTAGCATATAATTACGTAACTTGAAAATGAGATTTTTTGTTTCTTGCAATAGCATAATAGTTTATGTTTTAAATAATAGATTTTATTATAAAACTTATAATAAAACAAGAATTAGGTCGATAGGACTATCCGTTCAAAAGTTATAAGGGAAAATGTATAGTAAAAATGTAGCAACCTAGAAATTTAGATATTTTTGTTTTAAGACTTTTTTAATTAATTATTATATATTGAATATTATGTTTTAATATTGTATAATAGTATGTAAGGCATGTAAATAAATAAATATGTGTAAGGTGTTTTACTGAAAACATAAAATAAAAGGACTCTCAAGGTTTCGGTTTAGGGAAATTTTATTCGAAAAATGAGCTCAAAGTACGCGGCTCTCTGTAAGGTATTAACGGGCCAAATAAAAGGCGAGCCATTTCTCGATTCGAGTCAGTCGCAAGACAGCCACCGAAGAGGCAACAACTAAAAGGAAAAGGAAGAACCGAAACCAAGAGAGAAAAAAGGAAAAATTGTGTTTTATTTCATCGCCTCTAAGTATAGTCTCCTGTCAACGAAGAAACCCTAGTGGATCGGGACCCAAGCTACGCATTCAGGGGTGCGTGGTGGCGTACATTACCAGCGAACGGACATACTGCCGTGTACGCCAAGAACGTCTGGGAGATTGTCCCAGGTCGACCTCCGGGTACTAGACATACCCTGGTTCTGGTCGTCCGAAACATGTTGTGTTGCTGTTTTCTCTATAAGACAATTTCAAAAAGAATTAAAAATAATAATTACTTAAAACGTATTATACGTAAGTATAGATAAAATATATTTTTATAGACCTTTAATTGTAGATCTCTATGTAATAACACCATACAAAATAAATGTTCTTTCGATCTCTGATAGAGTTTGAATTATTGTTTAGTTTTTGCATTCATGCCTTATGTATACAATCTCCAGCTTAAAGTTACATTATATATGTAACTTGAGAAGGCCATCTGCACAGAAGATATTATAGAGCACAAGAGTTTGTTTACCAACGCAAAAAACTTAACTGCGAGGTTTATATTAAAAAAATCTCAACCGGAATACCCAATAACTTTTCTTCCACGAATTATTGCCACGAAATTCGAACCCAGGATCTCTGGATCTGCAGACGTAATTGCTATTCATTAGAGTCTAGGTTAACGAGGTAGCTTAATTCTTTGTAAAGATAAAGATGTGTTTGTGTAAAGATGTGTTTAAGATATATATTTTATAAAACAATGATTTTTGTTTAATTGTAAGAGGAATTATAACTTCATGCTGAAATGTGTCACGCAGGGCGGCGTGTCTTACTTATACTATCTGTCGTATTATTATGTATGCCCAACTGGCACTCCTAGAAGCCAAAAAAATAAAAGAATTAAGAATCTCAGCAGATCTGCTTTCCGAGCCGGTGGTAGCTTCCTCACGGACTGACTACACTGATGCTTTCATTAAATTGACGATTCAAAAGTACTTGTAATAAGTTTAATTGAATAAAGTTTATTTCATTTCATTTGAATTGAATCTATCGTACTTGGTTTGTTCAAAAAATGAATGTAAAATCTAGAAATTTATTACTAACGTGAGATATTCGTAGACATACTAAAATAGATATAGGTTTTCCCGTTTTTCAATAGAACATTTCAATGCTCGCAGTCTAACTTCCGCCAAGGACAGATATTGCATTTGTTTCATTTGTTGTTTGTGGGCCAAGTTTCCTCAATATTTCACCCTGGAGCCTAGGGAGGGATCGAAACGCGTAGACACAGTAAATTAGGGTTGCCAGAACTTTTGTCTTAGCGATATGGATCAAATTTCTTATACATATTTATATTACATTTTCAAAATGGAAATATTGGGTATATAATGTTCTAATATACCCAATATCTATAGTAGTATCTCTAAAGACTGTATGTTATTTTTAACAAAAAAATAAAATAAATGTTGAAATTGTATCAAAATATAGCTATTAATAATTGTATTAACTTAAGTATATTGTAGACTACTGGCAACATCTAATTTATGTTCTGTATCTGTCTATGCTGAATCTAATAAACTTCTTTAGTCTATGTCGAGCACGCAACCGTTTTTCATCAATAAAATGGATAATATTAATTAATGTCAAATTGTGACATAAATGCTTACATATCCTGTGAACACTTTTCGTATTTTCAATTATGATCCTGTGGATTTCTACGTCTGTCTTCGTCTTTGTATAGTGAAATATAGTGTAATGAGTTATTCGACATATATTTGTATATATTTAAATTTGTATTAATATTTAATTTATACTCGTACATTAATTAACTTTTAAAGAAAATTAGTTTTTTTTGCTAAACATATCGGCTGTAATGCTAATTTTTTGATTAAGCAGTTCAATTCTCTTTAGTCTAGACTTTTCACATCATTTGGCTTCTGTTTTTGTAATGGAATATGTTAAGTTAAAGTTTTTACATTCATTATCACAAGTTATTCCCGGTGGTTATCGGTCTTAATTAAAAACCTTCTTAGTTTTTTTATTAAAGATGCTCCAAATAAACTTGTACCAGTATCTTTTAGATATGGCATTTTCATGAAATAATTCTTTGAATAAAGTATCTATCTGTGTATATAATTTATATCTGCTTCACACAATATTGCTGTGAGACTCCTGTTTATGGTAGCGTTAAGATTACTCTATATCGTATCATGCATTCTTAATCGTACCCTCACAACGACCCTCGAGAGTTGAACATATTCTAGTTCTTACGTTTCATTTGACCCTTGAACAAGATGGATTGTTTGTTTTTCTTTTTCATAAAATAAAGAGAAATAATGTAATATATTCAGCTAGCTATAAATTTATAAACTTAATGTCTTTGTGCATAATATTTTATACTCCGACCTATATTAAATTAAAAGCCCATGTTCAAAAAAAAAAAACGGGTACTTTTTCTCTCTCTTATCTTATTAATCTTCTATATCTTAAATGGATATTATAAGAAAGAGGTTTTATTAATTTGACGATATAATTTAGTATAATATTTAAAGTATCCTGGCATGAAAGCTTACGTTTAAATTAACAAATGAAAAATAACGATTATTGTAAAATTGCCTTAAAAATCCAATTAGTTTGTTAATAATATAAATGTCTTCATAGAAATATATACCCATAGAAAAGTGTTGCAACATAAAAATGTTGGTGGTATGAAATAGGCATTTCCTTTATTTGCTTACGTTTCTTTTAGATCCTTGACCTTTCAATCCTTGGCATTATGAATGTGTTACAGTAAATTCATTTAAAATTTAAATTTTATTAACTCAACCTCGCAGGCAATCTATAGGTAACTACCTTCTATAAGTTTATTTTGACTATCAAAACATAATGGATTAACTTACACTAATAAATAAGTCGAAAATATTTAAGTACCTACATATATCATTGTATTTTTTTCTTGTAAATAAAGACTTTTATGAAAATGTCCATAAATTGAATAATGTTACAGTAACTAGTCTTTGGAGGATATTAATTAATAAAGCTCTACAGTCTACGCTTAATGCTGCTGTTAATATTTTCTCTTACTAAAAGGCTATATCGTAAACAAAACATTGGATTTAGGAGACGGTTCGAGTCACAAATTGTATGAAAACATCTATAAATCGTAACATCGTGCATCCCGAGAGATCGGTTTGCCGCACGCATCTTCTAATGGGGTTGCTCGGGGCATTTCTATCTCGCAAGGATAGAAATTACATATATGAAAGAGAAGACTCGCCTTATCCTTGTTATTTTGTATTTAGCATATTATGATTAGTTACACTTTTAAGTTAATATTTTCACAAAGTGTTTTAAAGCGTTGAAAATAAAGTCAATTTTTTATCATATTGTGTTTACATATAAGTTCGTTCCTTTAAGGTTCAAAATAAACTCTTAGTATTTTCTACACAATATTTATCTTTATCTGAATTGCAAAATTATTATAGTTTATTCCTCAGTCAATTTTAATATTATCAGTCATCTCATTACCGTCTACTGAAATGTTACTGAACGTAGCATCTGAGGTCAAACCAAAGACATGACATTGGTTTTGCCATCCCAATGGAAAAACGCCCGTATCTCGAATATTATTGAGGTTAAACGAAAACCACGAACCGGAATATAATTTAGGGATAACCTTTGATCGTAATCTCTGTACATCGATTAGAGACAAGGCATATTTATTTAAATGGACTAATTGTGCAAATATTATCAATCCTTTATAATTTTCTATCTCTAAAATAGAACTTGTACTTATTAATGAAAAAATTAAGGTTCTGTTTATAGTTAAAATATATTTTTCACGGCACCAATTGGAGTAGATGGATCACGCGATGGTGTAATGAAAATCTATAGCACTTATACAATTCAATATGCTTGAAACATTAATCTTATTAAATGTTATGCAATTTATTTCAGAGTTTCAGTTCGTAATTATAACTTAATTGTTTACAAAGTAGTCGCATACCTATATGATCTTATTTCCGTTAAAAACTGTAAAATATTAAAATTATCAAAATTTTCAATTTATCAAAATATCTTAGTGTTATTAGTACCTTTGCTTCAATAACGAAATGTTACGAAAATTCGTATGGTGTAAACTTTTTTGAAAACCATTGCATTTTACCAACAACAAAAACATCCTTTTACCGTACCCGCTAAGTCTTTATATTTACCCTTTGTTTTCCAAGATGTCTTTTCAAAACAAACTCTGTAACACTGTCAACCTGAAGCAACCAATCGCGTCCGAGCTCGGTCGTGCACGCATGCGCGCGTGGGCGGCGGTCGATACGTGACGTCACGCGCCACCACCAATGGCGCCGCTTCGGGCCGTCGCTCATCAATCGATGTGAAAGACTCTCAGTATGTCCGAACTCCGATGCTTTGTATTGTCTTAAAGGTATTGCATACGTGAGCTATTGTAGCGAAGACAAATATTTCTAGATCATTCTTTTATAAATAAGGTTTTATAGTATATGATGATGATATATTGCTATTTTCATAATGAGATGATAATGTTAGGTTATCGTGCGACGTAATTAAGAACCATATTTGCTTTATTCAGCTGTAATGAACTTAGATAAAATTTAGGGAGATACACATAAGCTACTGAGGACTTTTTCATAGGCCTTTTTAAAACCTAAAATTTTTTGGTACATTGTTTTGATGTATCTATTAAGGTTTAGCCAGCGTTAGCCGTGTAAGTGTATGAAAACCATATTTTTTTACAAAAGACCGTAGTTCAGTCATTTTGTACAAAATGTTTACAAAGTATATAAACAAACCTTCCTCGTTCGTTTTTCTATACGTAAAAACGGTATCAAAAACCGTTTCATAATTTAGTAAGCGGAGAAACAGTATACAGCATACAGCGACTTTGTTTTATACGATGTACAGCTATAGAGGAACGTCTTGCGTCCGTACTGTTTTTTTTTTCCGCATTTTTTCTCACTAAATTGACAAATATCTTAATTTTTTTGTTTTCCCTGCTTAGTTTAATAGTTTTTTTGTGTAATAAATCATTGAAGTTTTTGAATGAAGGACATTTTTTCCGCGGGAATGAGAGATTTTCCTTTAGTAAAAGGTATCCTAAATGTTGATCCTGTTTACAACACGTAACAGTCATTATTCTTAAAAAATTTTTGTGTAAAGACTTCGCTTTGTTACTATTTTATTATATGTAAAGATATTTATTATGTTAAAATAGAGGCTATAGTACGTGAGCGTAGAAAGATTAAAATTTTGAAATATGAATGAATGAAGTCTTTATTAAAAATATAATTGCTTTCCTTGTTTTATATTTAAAATAACATTTATAAATTGAATTTATAATAATTTTTTAATATTTTTTTTACTCATGTATTGTATCGTTATCGCTTAAAAGTTTTTCTGAAACAATTCATCAAAATTTGACGCACCATCGGGTGCTACTAACTTTTCGAGTTCTGAGAAGGCCACGTCTACGTTTGAGGTTATGTCTCTTCCTGGTTTATTATTTGCTGATAACCAAACAGAGCCTGCAGCTCCTTCACGATACATTTTTAGAAAAGCAGCCACGGCTGATTCAATTCTGGAAAGTAAAAAAATAATCTTAAAGTATATTTCTTTGAAATAATGAGGATATAAGCACAGGCTGTGTTAGAACTCTAATAATTATTGTCGTACATCAAATTAAAACACATGCTTCACTTAGTTTATACTGTGTTATGATGTTTTATTGAAGGAAATACAAACCTCTGTTCATATAGGTTATTTATTTGAGACAAAATGGCTTTGCTGGTTTTGTCATCGAATGTTTTATGTTCGAGATTATGTAAAAGTTCCGTATCTGTGGCTCCTAAACATATAGTCAATATACGTATTCCTGTGTCACTGTTAAATTTTGGAGACTGAAATTAATCAGAAAATAAATTGGTTATAACACAAATTTTGATTCCTATTTTGTTATGATTTTTTATTAAATTATTTGGAAACTTCGTTGATTTAGCAAAATGATAACAATTTTGAAATATCTACTTGAAAATCATGTTTTATTATAGTTAAAGTTAGATTATAAATTATAGTATATTGAAAATAATAATAATTGTTAAAATTTTAATGGCGCTACGAGTATATGTCATCTATACATACCTATAATAAAATTGTAACTAAGCCGAATCTGTACATTAAATATTTTTTGGAAAATCTTATTGAAATAAACATTATTATCGATACAGAGGTCGAATCTATAGTTTTTAGAATTTTTGTCTGTCTGTGTGTCTGTCTCTCTGTTACTGCATCACAGACAAACCACTGGACGGATTTTGAAGAAATTTGGTACAGTGATAGCTGGTTATCCGGGTCAACATATAGGATACTTTTTAACGGGGAAAATATCTCATTTCTGAGAAAAATGCAAAAACTGTAATGTAAGAGTATACTAATCTGTAAAACCTAAGAATTTGGATTTTGATCATGTGAACGCGGGCGGAGCCACGGGCCATGCTAGTATATAATATATATATTAATAACTAAAATTACCGAAATTGATCGACCAAAATGTAATACTGCGCTTTTAGTTCCACAATAGATCGGTATAATAGAAACTCTGACTATTGCAGCCGAAGATGATATGTTAATTATTGTGCCACCTTGTCCGCCTTCGTCTTTACGCATGTGTTGTATGCCTTTCATTGTGAATGAAACCAGACCAACCTGAGGAAAACAATTTACTTCTATTATTTAATAAATACAAACTTATGTATAAATATAAATGTGATGTGTCTGTCTGTCTGTCTGTACGTTATCGCGCCTAAACCACTGAACCAATATTTATGAATTTAGTCATAGAGATAGGTGGGACCTTGGAAAAAGACAGGCTATTTTTTGTCGCGAAAATAAAATTTTAAAGGCCTGAAATAGGGGTTGAAATTGGTTGACGATCGAGAAACGATGATAGCTTTTTTATCTAAGTATTTGAAACGTACCCAGGGTGGCACCTGAGCGACGCGAGGGTAAGTCGCTTGTAGCTGTTATTGTTAAATCCTATGCGCTTAATTGACAAGTTTAAAAAGTGTTATACGAGTAATTATTTTATTAGTTTCTGTTGTAGCGCAAACAAAATATATTTGCGCCAAATGTGCTTGAAACTTTACACCTGATACCTTGTAATTATAATCAAAGGTGTGTGTGTGTGTACAGACACATACACACACCTATTAGGTATACAGATACCTAATAGGCCCATGTTACAAATACTACCGAGATTGTCATGGCTTTATTGAAATTAAATTACATTTTCACTATGAAACATACCAGAAATATAAAGAAAAGAAACTAGTAGAATGGGCCACGTTTTGTATCCTTAAGTTCGCGAAGATTCTACATTTCCAAAAATTCGACTTTTTATATTACAATTCCTTACAAAAACTCATAAAATTAAGTGTATAATAGCTTGGTCACCCACCAAATCCACGAATATCTGGTGTTAATCTAAGTGCAACTCTACTCCTATCGGTTATCCTGATTTAATGTCTCTTAGATAAGACTTAATGATTTATGTTGTATATTACACGTATATTTATGAGGCGATAACTTTATCTTTGCATAACAAACAAAGATAAATGAAGCAAAAATATTTTATAGGCTAAATTATTGTATAGCTAGCGGCTCACCCTCACTTCGCTCAGGTTCATCGCTAGATACGAGTACGTTTTAAATAGATACAAATAGTTATTAGCCAGCGTTAGCCATATAATTTTTTTTTTCATAAATTTAAAAATTTTCATTTTTTTCTCTGTATTAAAATCTTCCGTGGACCTTAAGGAACATAAGAAAAAAATTTCGCCGAATTAGTCCAGCCATTCTTGAGTTATGCGCTTACCAACATTCATTTTTATTTATATACTATATGGTAGTTAAGTATTCTTAAATTTTATAATTTTCCGCGCAATTTTTTCTTTTTTTTTTCTTTCATAAGAACCTTCTCCTGACAATAACAAACACAACAAAAAAAAATAGTTAAATCGGCCCAGCCGTTCACGACGTTCAGACCAAGGGAAATAGGGATATATTTTATTTCATTGCCTATAAATATATATATAAATCATAAACAACAATGAAATATCAATCAAAAACAATGAAATAAAATGTGTTACTCGTTTTTGATTGTTATCATATCGATATTAATATTGACTTGTTTATAGTTTATACTACTCGTATCATATCTACTATCTGGTGCACAACGTTTAAGTATTTTAAAGTAAATAATAATCGATGGAAATAAATATTTTTTAATGTACTCTACAATATTTGTATTATTTATTTACGATATTATTTAATTTAAGATTATTTTAATACCAACTTTTTTATATTATTCATTATCTATTGGCGACAGTTTCTAAGTTGCTTCTTGTGTCGGTAGTGAGTAGGTGGTACTTAGGATTGATTGATCCTCGTACAGAACGGAAAGCAAAAGCCTCATTAATTTAGATTTTCTTTAACAATTGCAATAAAATCTGCCTATATAAAAGAAAAAGGGTTTTACTTAAATCGATCTATCGTTGTTGTCGTCATTCTTGTTCAAAAGTCAACCAAAAAGAGTTACTAGGATATTTGGTTGTAAAGGTAGCTAAAGTAACAACAATGCTTTTAAAATATCACCGTGTCAAAAATAAATTAATGTCACACTGCTGGGCACGGGCCTCCCTTCAATACGAGGGGCATCAGGCCATAGTCCATCACGCTGGCCAAGTGCGGGTTGGCGCACTCCACATGTCTTTCGAAAACTTGCTAGGTTTTCTCAGACACGCAGTTTTCCATACGATGTTTTACTTCACCGTAGAAATGATTCGCACATGAAAATATCAGACGTGCGAGACCCGGGATTTGAACCCGCCTCCCTCGGTTTCCCAAGCGAGCGCGTTACCACTGGGCTACCACTGCCTTTAAAATGATTAGTTATTTAAAAAATACAAGATATACAAGTATACTCACCCAGTTAACCAGGCTCGATGTTTTCCAAACGTCGGGACTATCATTCATAATTCCCGCATTATTAATGATCACATCTATTCTATTGAAAGTATTTAACACTTGATCGAAAGCATAATTAATGTCATCGTCTTTGCTCACATCACACTTAACAAAAATGACTTTGTTTTTGTATAACTTGTTGAGTTTATCTGTAAGTTCTTTACCTGCCTTTTCAGCTATATCCAGTATCGCAATATTCTAACAAAAAAATACGATAAGAGTTTTACAGACCTTATTAAAACAATGAAATGTTATTTTTGTATGTCGATTAAAATAAAAATATTATGGATAGTATATATATATATATATATATATATATATATATATATATATATATATATATATATATATATATATATATATATATATATTCTGTAATGGGTGTGTTGCCGAGGTCGGCCCTAGCTACGTCGACGAGTTATGGTCCATTGTAGCTCCATATATATATATATATATATATATATATATATATAATGAACTTTTTAAGAAAGCAAAACCTATCTAAAGAGCTGCTTGCATATTATTTAAAACTTGTTTATTTCTGCGAAATAGAGAGTATTTCTAAAACATTCAATGAATATCCAGGAAACAAGTTTTAAAAAATCTGTCTTTTAAATAATAGAAATGTAGACACCAAAATTTTTGGATTTAAATGTAATCAAGTTAATTTTAGTGTCTATTATAAAATTCCAGCGTAAGGTGTTTTTTTTAAAACGTTTATTATTTTACCTTTGCACCACATTTCAAAAAGGCTTCGACATAGGCCGCACCAAGTCCCGAGGCACCGCCAGTTATTAAAATATTTGTTCCTTCTATTTTCCAAGCCTCCATATTGAACGCTAAACTAAATACCAATTGTATAAAATTGATCGTTTTCGTCTATATATACGATCGCAAAACATTTATCTTGTGATAAAGAGTGAATATGATTATTTTTGTCACTCTACTAGTTCATAACAAAAATAACGTTTTCATTGATATACTCGTACGAGGTAGTATCTTATCTTATTATATTTTATACTAGCGACTCACTCTCGCTCCGCTCGGGTTCGTCCCTAGGGGATTTTTTAAATTGACGTAACTTTTTTATTTATGAACCGATTGAAATAAAACAAATACTAAATGTTAAGTGAAGCTTACCACAATATATTAGGAAAAAAACCGCATCTAAATCAGTTAAGCCGTTTCTGAGATTAGTGCGCACAAACGCACAGACAAATAGACAAACCGACAAACAGACATAAATTGAAATGAATGGAAACAGGTAAAAATCATTGTTTTGAGTTCAATTGCGTAAATAAAGACCCCTAATGATAGTTTTTCTCAAATATCTTGCATGTACAGACAGCGATTAGTTACACTTTTATTATATGTATAGATGATTTTATAACTAAATAATACAGTGTATATTTTTTACTAGAAAAGCACGAATAGCAATCTATTAGTTACCACGGGAACCGTTCATTTTTCCGGGATGAAAAGTAACCTGTTGTTTGACCGGCAATATAAGGTATCAGAATGTTAAATTTTACTAAATTAAGTGCATGAATTGTTGTGTACTAAGCTGTATAGTTACTATAGTTTTTTTAACTATCCCACGGGAACTATTTAATTTTCCGGGATAAAAAGTATCTAAGATGTTGCCCGGGGCATATAAGGTACTGCCATGCATACATTTCATTTAAATCGGTCCAATAGATTCGGAGATTAGCCCGTACAAACAGACAAACAGACAGAGAAACAAAAAATTTGAAAAATTTCGGGACTTGTTCTATTGGTCTTCTTACATCCCCCTGACTCGGTTTTTACCATTTTTTTGCTATGTACAGGCATTCGATCTCTACTGTTTTATTATAGTATAGATAGATAGATTAACTAGGCAATGTAAGTTCATTTTATACTCAGGTCGTGTCCTACATACGTAGAGTCCTGTCTGGGGCATTATTGCGTTTTCTAGATTGTAAACGTGATGCACATCTTACCACCAGGATGCCAATGAAGTTACCGTAATTGATGTCTGTACCATATTTAACATTTTTGACCGCGACATCAAGAAAAAAGCTATATGCAGGTTTCCTCATGACGTTTTCCTTCACCGTAAAACAGATAGGCAGGTAAAACACACAGGTAAACACTAACCAAAAACTAACATAATACGTTGTTAAATAATTGGGCAACACTAAAAAAATAAACTTGTACCTAAATTGTTCTCGTTCAATAAAAGTACCTAATTTTATTCAAGTCATAATACATTTGTTTGGTCAAAAGTTATTTAGAAATATAAGTTTTACATCTGATTAACCTTCCAATGCAAATCTTGGCCTCGATGACAAATCTTCTATCACATGCTTTAGATTATAAGAACTTATCGGTAGTACAGCGTGTAACGGTTTTAAATTATAAAACTGGGTTAAGTATAATAACCCCATTTTATGAATGATCCGTATGGGGGATAAATATGTAATTAATAAATAGTTATAAGTTTTATTAAATAGCCAAGTATATTTATAAAATTGAGGTTTTATTGAAATAAAGCTGTAATAACAGGTTTTGGATATAAAACACATCCTGTATGTTTAGACACATACACATAATACATATGTATAACATGTGGTTTGGAGTGATCTTTATTATGATCATCTTAAGTTTTTCTGAAGAAAAGTGATAGTTATTATAGAATGATACGTAATATTATTTCTGAAAGTCATTATCTATGCTAATATAATAAAGAGGTAAAGTTTGTGAGTTTGTGACGTTCTAGGGGGTAATCTCTGGATCTACTGAACCGACTTAGATGAAATTTGGTAAGAAGATAGTTGGAGACCCTGTGAAGGAGAAGAAGAAGGGGTTTTTATCGCTTAAGGGGGTGAAAATGAGGATGAAAGTTTGTTTGGGAATCAAGCTAGGGATGAATCTGAGCGAAGCGAGGGTGAGTCGCTAGTCTTATAATATAATAATTAAATTTATTTATTGTAATGTATATATAATCTAGCCATTTTTAAAAGCCGTAAATACATTTATCAAAACTTCCAACTCTATCCATGGTGTTTTATTTTTTGGAGTTGTGTGGCATTTACTTCTTGTACATGAAATGAAATATCCACTAAAACCCAGCGGCATGTTTATTTTTATATACTACCACTGTTTATTTTCCTAAATAGATCTTCTCCTTATTGGCCAATTGGGCGTTAAAGTTCGGAATACTTTTTTTAAATATCTAATCTCCATTCAAAGTTTTCAATAGAATCGTATTCTGCTTCTCCAGTACTTATTCAGAGAAGTATCAGCTCCCAAAGCATTCCATCCGCTTACTACATTTACACGCCCTGGCCTCCTAACAAGAGCACCGCAAATATCCAATCCTTGGTTTAAACTTTTAATTAATATTTTTTTTCAATATACCAACCACACTTTATAATTTTTTAATTATTTGTATCTTTAGGAACTGTTTAAAGAGAATTCTAGTTCGAGAAATATAATTATACTATAATAGAAATATAATAGAGCTTCACGGAAAACATGGTTAGCTAATTTTCTAACCTATTTAGGTTAGAAAATAGTGTTACGTAGAAGCGTAGACACGCGTAGGCGGGCTATACGTACGTAGAACTCTAGTCTACAAGCGATATCGCTTATATCTATAGGCTTCATTCGATAATCATTTTGTTTTTCATATTTTTTGTATTATTAAATCTTCTAATGACATGTATTGTAACTTCAAATATATTTAAATATATATGTACGTACAAAATAATTGTACACATTAATAGTAATTAAAATATAATAAAAGATTTTTTTATTTCTATATATATTGTATTGAAATTTATTTCAGTCTTGAATAAAATAATTTGTTAGCCGCATAAAAGAGAGAAAAATTAAAGTTGTTTCGGTTATAAATACGCCGTTATATCAATAGGTTTCGTATATAGTCTGCAAACTCCGTAATTACTTTATTATAATGGATAGATTGTTAAGAGAGATGTTAAAGTGTACAGCTTCACGTGTGCGATCTACATGTAATATAGTTTAAATTGAGCGCTATTGATTGTGCACTCGAGGCTGACCTTTGGCCTTTGCGATGAATCACATTACGTGAACGGCTTTTATCGTTTGTATGTGGGTTTGAAATATGAAGTATTGCAATTTGATTATCCCTGCACTAAATTATCCTTTATTATACATTTATTTTTTCCCGTACACACAATTAAAATTATTTTAACACACGTATCTCAAAGTGTCGCATGTTGTTACAGATATTCTGTATTATTTAAGTTTATTTTTAGTGATGGTTATTTCTTAGTAAATACTATCTAAAAATAAATATTAATTTTTTTACCTCATTTTACTAAAAAGTATTATTTCGCACTTTCATTTCACATATTTAGATAAAACTAGCATTGCCCGCGGCTCCGCCCGCGTTCAGATAACCGAAAGCCAAATTCTTAGGTTTTACATATTAGTATACTCTTACATTGCAGTTTTTGTATTTTTTCTCAGAAATTAGATATTTTCCTGCGGTAAAAAGTATCCTATTTGTTGACTCGGATAATCAGCTATCACCATACCAAATTTCATCAAAATTCCTCCAGTGGTTTTTCTGTGATGTGGTAACAGACAGACAGACAGACAGACAAAAATTCTAAAAACTATAGATTCGGCCCCTGTATCGATAATAATGTTTATTTCAATAAGATTTTCCAAAAAATATTTAATGTACAGATTCGGCTTAGTTACAATTTTATTATATGTATAGATATACAAAACAGTATATGTGTAACAACAGTATTAGTATTGTATGGGACGTGTGAAAAGGTTTTTATATAATATGTAGACCTGTCTCTCGAAGCGTTAAAGATGACACTGTGTCTGGAATGTTACAAGTGTCTTTGGGTCGTGAATATTTTAACATCAGACACCAACACTACATGTCTCAAAGGACTCTGCCCCTTGGCTACTCTTAGTGCGGTTTTAATGGAAAAATTTCTTATGTATGATATTCTTATGTATGAGGAGATCCTCTCCTTGATGATAAGAAAAACATATCTTCATATAAATATGTATTTATTATCGATATGTGCCCGATAGTGATTGTGTAACCTCTAAATGATTTGATAGTTTGTGACTTGTTCTATTGAATCTATGTCTATAGTAGGATGTGATAGTTGCTGTAGATCCAAAATGATTCTGATGATTAATGATTATTCTCAATAAATGTCGTTACATTACCAAAAAATCCCATAATCCAGACTATAAATCTAAAAATCTCATAATCTCTACTGGACATAATCTCTACAGGTTTATTAGGCAATGTGGTCTCTTATGAAAGTGACAAAGACGAAGTATCGATCTCTCCATTGAACTCAAAAAACTATTTTCCTTACACTATGTAGAATAGTAGGGGAGGGGGATGGGGAAAGAGATAAATATACGCTACCCCTATATTCCATATATTACTTAACATGTATATAAACAGACATAAAAGATATAATAATATAATATGTAGATCATATTATTAACATATGTATATTTATCAATACTAATAATAACAATACAAGTTATTTATAGACAAAAATGCTAAGTCAAATATGGCCTCGTATATTAATGTTATCTATACTAATATTATAAACAGGTGAAGTTTGTGAGCTTGTGACGTTGTACGGGGTAATCTCTGGATCTACTGAACTGATTTAGATGAAATTTGGTAAGAAGATAGTTTGGGACCCTGGGAAGGACATAGAATACTTTTTATCTCGGAAATCATCCCTTAAGAAGGGTGAAAATGGGGATGAAAGTGTGTATGGGGAATCAAGGCAGGGACGAACCCAAGCAAA